TGAGCTATTCCTGTGCTAAACCCCCCCTTATCTCTCTGTGCCCCATATCTCAGAACCTATTGGTTCTGTTTACCTGGAGGACCCGGACTAATAGGGGTTAACTAACAAAGAGAGAAAGGGGGAGAGGGAGGGAGGGGGAGGGGGGGAGAGAGAGAGAGAAAGAGAGAGAGAGAGAGAGAGAGAGAGAGATTCAGAAATTCAGTACAGGATGTAACCCCAGGAAAACGAAGATGAAAACAATAGGGGTAGGCCCCAGCTGGTTTGGCTCAGTGGACAGAGCATCGGCCTGCTGGCTGCAGGGTTCTGGGTTCGAATCCCGGACAAGGCATAGGCCGGGGTTGGGGGCTCAACCCCTGGTTTGGGGAGTGCAGGAGGCAGCTGGTTGATGATTCTCTCTCATCATTGATGTTTCTATCGCCCTCTCCCTCTCCCTTCCGCTCTGAAATCATTAAAGATATTTTTTAAAAAATAAAATGAAACTGAGTAGGAAGGATGGGGCCCAGCCTCTCTGAGGTGCATGGCCCTCTCCGTCTCCCTTCCGCTCTGAAATCATTAAAGATATTTTTTTTTAAAAATAAAATGAAACTGAGTGGGAAGGATGGGGCCCAGCCTCTCTGAGGTGCATGGCCTGCAACTCAGAGTGACTCAGCCCCCACGCAGACCTGCGTCCCGGCCACATAGAGCTCCTCGCCCACCTTTGGCAGCTCAGGGAATGTTTCCCTCCCTAGTTTTTCCAAGAAAAACGGAGAAAGGACTAGAACATACCTTAGAGCAGCGGTTCCCAACCTTCCTCATGCCGCGACCCTTTCATACAGTTCCTCATGTTGTGGGGACCCCCAACCATAAAGTTATTTTCGATGCTACTTCATAGCTGTAATGTTGCTACTGTTATGAATCGTCATGTAAATATCTGATATGCAGGATGTCTTTTCATTGTTACAAAGTGAACATAATGAAAGCACAGTGATTCATTACAAAAACAATATGGAATTATAGATGTGTTTTCCGAAGGTCTTAGGCGACCCCTGTGAAAGGGTCGTTCGACCCCCAAAGGGGTCGCGACCTACAGGTTGAGAACCGCTGCCTTAGAGGGTTTGGCCCAGGATTCAATGTGTAATGTTTGATAGAACGGAAATAGCAGTTGCACATTGTAAACGCTGGCTGAGTCTCGGTTAAACTTTAAAAATATATATTATTTTAATGGAGAATAAAATGTTTAATGCCTGCAACAGCCAGGTAAGCTTCTTACCTTTTCTATTAAAACAGCAACAAAAACCCGCAAAATTAATCCGAACGAGACGCGGGCGCCCCCTAGCGGTTCTCAGGGAAAAATCTCATTTTAACCTGATGGGGCAGCAGGTCTGACCCCACAAGTGGCAGGAATTTGGACCCGTCCCCCCACGGGGGGCTCTGTCTCCCAGCTCTCCTGGCGAGGGGCCCCGCTCTGGAGTCGGGGTGCCTCAGACCCCAAATGTTTCTTTGTGGAGACAGCGCTGGGCAGCGACCTTTGCAATCCCAGCGGCCATCAGCAACCTTGCTAAGTAGACAGGTGGGCAGTCCTGAACAGACACTGGAATAACAGCGGGGCCTGGCCGGTGTATCTAAGTGGTTACAGCGGACCCCGCGCATCAAAGGCTCTCGGGTTCGATTCAAGGGCACGTACCTGGGTTGCAGGTTCGATCCCCAACCCGGTCGGAGTGTGTGTGAGAGGCAACCAATCCTGTCTCATGCGAGGGGGGGGGGGGTCAGGGGGGGCTGCTAATCGATGTCTCTCTCATATAGATGTTTTTCTCTCTGTGAATATCTCTCTCTCCCCACCCCCCTCCCTTCCACTCTTTCTAAGAATCAATGGAAAAATTATCCTGGGGTGAGGATAGAAGTAATGAGGAGGGGAGAGGTCTATGGGGGGAAAAGGAGACGTATGTAAAACCTTCAACAATAAAGAATTTTTTTAAAAAAAAGAATAAGTACGAGGGGACCCAGGAACGAGGATGGATGTGTTCACATAACTGATTCCTTAGATCTTTCCCCGTGGTCAGTGACCCAGGGTCAGGGAGGCGTGGGGGTGCCTGCCACCGGTGGCATTTGAGAAAACTGGGGAACTCGACCCCACGTGGGGAGGGACAGAAGGGGAAGAGCAGGTTCAGGAAAATAGGGTGCACAGCTCAAGTGTGTGGGGGGTGGTGCCTCTGGGGCAACAGCCACCACGGGGGCCACGCCCCTGCCCTGGGCAAAGACCAGCTGTCAGAATGTGTGTGATCAGGGGCGTGTGACCTTCACCGCCAGCAGGCCCCGAGGTGTGAGGACTCACCTGGATGGAAGGCAATTTCCCACCCATGTCAACAGGTGAAGGTCACTCAGGTCCCAGGAGGCGTGGCCTGAATCCTGTGGCCAACAGGAAGTGTGAGGGGTAGCCCGGCCCACAGGCCAGGAGATGCCGACCACTGGAGACAGACTGTCACTCAGAGTGTCCGGGGGAGGGGCACCCAGGGAGCCCCAGGCTGGTCAGAGCAGAGGGGTGGGGGAAGTGGGGGATCCCAGACAAGGGCCTTTGATGTGGTTCCCACTGGGAGGAATTGGGGAGACAGGGTGAGCAGCTGAGCAATAGCTGCTTTAATTCTTGCAGTGGGCCCCGGGGTGGAGGGGCTGGTGCGAGCTGCCTGGCCCCTGGTCTGGGGGTGATTAGGGCAGGGGGGTCAGGGCCCAGAGTGTGAAAGCCCCACAGAAGGGGTAGTGGGGTGTGGGCTCAGGATGGCTGGTTTTATCTGAAGGGTGACCCCAGGAAGAGGATTCCTATATATATTTTTAATCCTCACCCACGGATATTTTCCCATCGATTTTTAGAGAGAGTGGGAGGGAGAAAGAAAGATAGAAATATCGATGTGGGAGGAACATGTTGATTGGTTGCCTCCCGCTAGAGCCCCGACCAGGGCCCGGGCCCGGGAGGAGCCTGCCACCGAGGTACCTGCCCTTGACTGGACTCGAACCCGAGACCCTTTGGTTTGCAGGCCGACGCTCTATCCATTGAGCCACACCAACCAGGGCAGGAAGAGGACTCTTGCTCAGGGCTTGGGGCAGCCGTGAGGGGGGCAGGAGGCCAGTGCCAGGGGGCGCAGGCATCTACAGGGTCATCGAGGACAAGGTGTGCCGAAGGACTCCTGTGGGACGGATGTGAAAGCGTCAGGTCTACAGACCCTGACACGTGGCCAGTACAAGGAGGCACAGCAGGCTCTGCTCCGCGCAGTCAGGCTGGGAGCCAGGGCCACCTTCAAGGTGTGGCGTCCAAGGTCACCCAGGAGGTCAGTTCCAGCAGCGAAGGGGCGAGCCCACCGAGGGGCCCAGAGGAAGCCCATGGACAGACACGGTGCTGAGGACAGAATAAGAGCCCCCAGCAATGCCCACGT